AACAAGCGTCGTGATTTGTTGACAATTTGCTATTAAGTTGTAATTTTTAAGTTTACATTTTGTAGCCCTGTTATTGGTTTTTACCGTTGGGCTTGGTTTTCTTCAAATAAATAAATAAAGAAAGAAAACTGAATTCTCAGTTCCCCTACACTGAAAAACTGTTGGTAGAGCTGTTCGCCCAATGCGGTGAACTGCTGCGTTAAAAAGAAACGCACAGCTCACTTTATTTTTGGGCGAGTTACTCTCCTTTTTGGGCGAGCAACTCTCCTTTTTGATAGAGCTGCTGACCTTTTTGTCAAGCAGCCGCTCGCCAACGCCATTGGTACTCAAGTTTAGGAGAGCAACTCGCCTAATTTTGATAGAGCTGTGAGTTTAAAGTTAAGTAGCGCTGCACAACAGTCAATAGCGGAACTGCTCTACCAACAGTTTTTCAGTGAAGTAAAATTAAACTTACAGTAATATTGGCAATATTGCTGCAAGTTTAGTTGTTCTAGTGTTGCAAAAAATTTTGTATGACACTTGCGCGTAAATCAGATTATAATTGTGTGACTTGCAGCACTTGCCTTCGGCTCGAGCTGCAAACGTCACAGTCGTATAATCAACGATTTTATGCACTTGTATCATAAATAACTATTATTATATAGTAACATTTTTATGAATAAAAAAATTTAGTAAAAAAATGGATTTTTCTGAAATTTAATTCTTTAAATCTGCAATGCAATATATTATGTACTCTACTTGGAAAAATCAATTTGTCTTGATATAAAAAATAAAATCAAAAGCTTCTAATTCTGCGGGCTGTGTCAATTGCTGCGCGTCAGTTTCTGCGGCCTTAAAAACATGCATTTAGATGTCATTTTGTTCACAGCAATTGAAGTACATGCATTTTACAATCATGTTTCAATTTCTGCGGTAAGCAGAATTGAAAGTTAATTAATTAAACTAATTATAACCGACAGATTAGCTTAGTCGGATAGATGCCTCGCTTGGCGGTCGTTTAAGGACCAAGGGTATAGTACCCTTGGTTCGCGCCCATTTGGCTTGGTAATTTTCCGGCACGTAAGACAATCTGAGCGGGAGGTTTGACGTCGAGGTATAATGATGTGCACCGTCGATTATTGTCCGGTACACACCATTAGAACTCGACTGTCGATAAACCGGTTGTACTCAGGAGAGGTTTTCTACAGTTTCCCTCTCCACTGGCGAGAAAACCCATTAGACAGGTGGTCCAGGCTAATGCGAGTACTCCTAATTTTCAAGACGTTCTGTAGGCGCAAAACTTAGTATTAGGAAAATGTATATAAGAAATATTATGTAAGAGAAAATGTAAACACACTTGTATAGCTAGATAAGCTTAAGACGGGTGTATAAACCAAATAAATTAAACTAATTATATTTTTAATGTGTATCTTTATAGATCATTGTATCACGTATTGATCAAAATAATTTTTCCAAAACAATTTTAAACATAATTACTTTGTTAAATTATAAATAATTATACATTTCACAAACGCGCAGCAATTGAAGCATCCGCAGCAATTGACGCACTTACCCCAGGTAGTTTTTGAGGTTGAGGATAGTTTTTGGAAAATTCTTCTTAATACTATGTTAGAGCACTAAATTAATTCTCAATTCCGGTGAAAGAGATTTTTAAAAATTCTTACCTTTTAGTGTAAGGAACTTAAAGCTATATACGTCAAGCCTGTAGTACCATACGTTTTCTTAAGAAGTTTAACAGCTCAAAATTTTTATATATGGTACTAGATAAGCACTACATTAGTTCTAAATTCCTGTAAAAGCGTTTTTTAAAAATTCTTATTTTTTAGGGTATGGTACTTGTAGTAATTTTTACATATTATTACACATATATTAAACTAAATAAAAAAAATTGTTCTCTATATTTTTTGTTCTTAATAGCGAAGAAATAGCGACTTGAAATTTTTGACTTGATTTTTTGAGCATTCGACAAATTGATAATTCGATGTTTTTAGCATTCGACATGTTGACGATTCGATATTTTTAACATTCGATGAATTGATAATTCGACGTTTTGAACATTCGACGAATTGAGAATTCGATGTTTTTAGCATTCGATTAAATGAAGATTCGATGTATTTAGCATTCGACTAAATGACGATTCGATGTTTTGAACATTCGACAACTTTACCATTCAACTATTTGATAATTCGAACAGATGGCATTTCGACTTTTTGTCCATTCGACTACTTTACCATTCTACTACTGGGCAATTCGAACAGATGACGATTCGACGTTTTGAACATTCGACAACTTTACCATTCTACTACTTGATAATTCGAACAGATTGATTGCAGTTTACCAAGCAGCAAGTACTATAACCTTAACATAAAGACAATATTACATTAGCTATTCAGAATATTCCAGTGGAATGTTCCAGGGATCTTGAAGTAATATTAAAATGTCCGCTTCAAAGGAATATTCCAAGATAACATTGAGGGGATGTTCCACGATAATATCGAATTAATATTCCTGAATGATGTTGAGGGAATGTTCCTTGGTAATATTAATCCTTAAAGTACACATTTGAAAAACTTACGTTCGATATACACACATGGGCGATTTGTACCTTGCAATACTTTGAAACTTTATATCGTTGTCTCAAATTGATAAAATTCAGTCGAATTTTTTTAATCGATAGGAAATGTTCTGAGGAATATAAAAAATATAGTTTTGTTGATATAAAATTAATTTGTTAAAAAATATTTAACAGTAAACAATGACTCAGTGTGTACTTTAAGGGTTAAATATGTTGAAAATACCAATAAATCGTATGTTTAATAAAAAAAAGAAGATAAAAAGAAAAAATGTCAAATATTTTCAAAGTATGAAATTTTGGAATATTCCCAGGCAATAACCTGGGAACATTCCCTCAACATCATCCTGGAATATTCCTTCGATATTACCATGATACATTCCATTGGAATAATCCGAATATCTAATGCATGAAGTAGTATAAGGAGACCGAACGACCATGTAAATTCCGTATTGAAACTGGGCCAGATTTTGGTACCCGCTTAGTTGCTGGAAAATACCGAAAGGAACAGAAGCGCCGCATGTGGGAAAATTATTAACTAGGAAAAGCATATAACATAACCTATCTTATTTGATTATGTTTTTACTCCATTTTACTCCACGTGTTGTGTCAAAAGTGTTTTTGTGTGTTTCTCTTTTTTTTAATAATGTAAATATTTTTGTGATATTTATATGTGTGTTTTTATCGTCAAATATGCCTTCGACCTGCATTGTGGATCAGTGTGTATCGTCCGATCTAATCTTCAAAGGAATAAATATTTCTTTTTTCTCTGCAAAAGTACGTTACATTTATTGTTTTAAAAATTAAATATTTAATTAACGTTAAGTTTTAAAATTATCTTTCTTTGAAATATTTTTTTTTATCATGTGGACAGGAAGATGTAATCGAAGAGTGGAGAAAAATCATTCCTACAAAAAAAAATAAATATTTTTAAGAAAAATCATGTACTGTGTGAACTGCATTTTAAAGAAGTAGAAATAGAAAGAAGTTTTTTCCAGAATATTAAAGGAGTTTTACATGAAATTCCTAAAGGAAGAATAACTTTAAAAAAAGGAGCAATTCCTTCTGTTTTTGTTCACAACCATCAAGTTGAAAAGGAAAATTTTCAATCTGACCAGTTTCAAGGAAAACTAATTTTTGAAAAACTTCGTAAGAAGGATTTACAGGTTCAATTGCCATCACAGAAATGGACATTTTTTTGTTCTGAAAATTTTATTGCATGGTTAAACTGGAATGACAGTATTTTATTTTCTACCAAACGCGTAATATTATATCCAGATTTGAAAGTAAAAGTAATAAATTTTAAATTTTCTCGAATAACAAAAATGTGGAATACGTTTTTTGTATTATTTCATGTACGATTATCTAAATTCAATAATAACTTTTTTAGGTGTTCATAGGAAAAATCGAATTAAATTTAGGACTTCAAGAGGTAAAAACTATTAAAGACTTGGTTGCACTTCTTAAACAAGTGGATGAGTTTCTCCCATGTGGTGGCGATAATTCTGAAAGGTATGTAAAATCATAAATTTCATTTTACTAAAAGTTTCTATTTTTAAAAATTACAATCTCGAATGAAATGCTGTTTTAAAATTTCTGTTGTAGATCTGATGCTTGTGAAGGATATGTAACAAAGAAGGATTTAAAGAAAAAAGGTCGACAAATAACATACTGTAAATCCTGTGCAAAATTAAGGAGGAAATTGAATAGGAAGAAAGGAGAACCGAATAAATTAAAAGAGACCCAACAAAAATTAAATAAACTACACAAAAATAGTGGTCGCAAATGTCTAAGACTCAAAAGAAAGGTATAATTAACAACTAAGACTAAGACTAAGCTTAATTTAAAAAATTGTAAAAATTCTTTGTTTCATTTAATTATTTTTTAAATTTTCAATTCAAATTATTAAAAGAACATTATTTTCTCGTCAAAACAATTTAATTATTCATAAAATATGTAATAGAAATTTTTGAAAAAGCGCTAAAAATTAAAACATAGCCGGAAATTTGTTTGAACGAAAATAGTACACCCTGAATTATTTTTTATCATATTAACTTATCTCTAATAAATTGTAGGTTGAAAATTTGAAAGAGTATGTACGAGTGATTAAAAAAGCGTGCTCGGAAACCAAGGAGGAAATTCTACATGCAGCTATTTCGCAGCTACCTTCCGAACAGCAGATTGCAATAAAAACATGCTTTCAGGCGTCTAAAATCACAGACAAAAAAAACATGCGTTACACGACAGAGTGGGTGTACGAGTGTATTCTTTTGAGAATTAAAAGTAGAAAAACTTATGAACATCTTCGGAAGCGTGACATATCATGCGTAGATACGTTATCGAGGTATCTCAAACTTTTAAAAACGTCTTTTGGATTTCAGTCCTATATTTTTGAGGGTATGAAAATGAAAGCAGCTGCCATGCCCAGCGAGTGTCGACGTGATTAGTACTTTACGTATTTTTAAATATAATTATAAAACATTTTGTTAATAATATTGATACAAATTTTTTCATTAGGAATAATTCTTGTCGACGAAATGAAACTTTCGCAGTCGTTGACATTTAATCGCGAAAATTTAAAATTCGAAGGCTTTACAGATTTGGGAAAATGGACACCTGATAATAAAAAAAAGGGAGACCACGCCTTGGTTTTCATGTATCAACCATTTAGAGGGAAATGGGTACAAACATTGGGCTGCTTTTTAAGTGTCGGAAGTGCATCTGGCACTGTTCTCCATAAATTATTGCTGGAAGCTATTGCACTCACAGAGAAAAGTGGTTTCTTTGTTGACGCTGTAGTGACTGATGGTGCCAGTTGGTACAGGTCAATGTGGAATATGTTTGGAGTTACAGCTGAGGAAGTCAGTGTATGTCATCCTTGTTGTGATGAAAGAAGGCTGTGGTTTTTATCCGATTTTCCACACTTGATAAAAGCACTTCGAAACTTTTTAATAAAATTTTCAAAATATGACATAATCTATGTAGGTATTAAAAAAAAATTATTGTAGGGAAAATATTATATATAATATAGTAAATATTTTTCCAAATTTTATATTATTCTGTTAATTCACAGACTCCAGATGGCTGCATCAGTTTAAAGCATTGGTATGCTTTATTGGAACTTTTAAATCAGCTCTCGTACGATTTAAAAGTTAATTATACGCTTCGTTTAGATCATTTGGAACCAAAATATTTCCAAAAAATGAATGTGGCTTTAGCATTCCAAGTAACAGAAATGAGTTTTCATTTTATAATTTTACAATACGATATTCCCAGTAAACAAAAACTAATTGAAATAAATTAAAAAGAATTCACAAAGAGTTTCAGTGAATCCCGCTTTGTGACAAATACGAATTGGAGCTATGTTGCAATTTTCCTGAATTCGTCAAACTGTATTGAACTTCCAAACCTTCTATTCTTACTAATTCAATGGACAAGTTTTGGGGCCTTTAATTTTTTTTAATTCGTCAGCACGAATTCAATGCATGCCTTGGTCATTTCTTACGAATGCGAATTCGTTTGCACAACTTCAGGCAAATTGAATCGAATTCAATCGAATATACAAAGAGCTTGAATGAATCCCGCTTTCAACCAAAAATCTTAATTCATTTCAATCTGTTTGAATTAGTTTGTTTTACTGGGTTCACTGTTGTTATTATTATTAATAAGTTTTTAATTTCAGTTCTTTAATATTCACCACGCCTTGGAAATTTACGAAAATCGTCACATAGATTTGGAAGATTGTGAGGGATTTAAAAAATTCTGCAAGAGAATAACATCATTAATTAAATCTATGAACAGTCGTACTGCTTTCGAGGCAATGACTCCTAAAAATGAAATTTGGAAGGTACAAATATTGAATAATTTGATGTAATAATTATTTATTATTGAAAATATTATTTCAATGCATTAATGATAATGTACAATACAGACCGTTGAGGAGTTTGTCGAATATCTTGAAGAATGGCTGAAACAAGCGAATGAGAATCCTAAAGCACAATATGAATTTATGAGCAGCAACTGTTGTTATGGTTTAAAAGTATCACTTAAAGCTGCAATGGAGATTTGCACCTTTTTAACTGACCATTGCAAGTTTTCGTATTTAATGACAGCTCGTTTAAATCAGGATATGTTGGAGGTATATTTTATTTATTACAGAATTGTATGTTTATATATTTAAATATATTTCTATGCTTTTTCAGAGGTTCTTTTCTTTAATGAGAGATTCGTGTGGTGCCAACGAACACCCTGATCCAACCTTATTTATACAAATGTATAAGTTAGTATCAACTTATTCTTAAATAAAACCCCCAAAAGGGTGTAATGTGGAAGGACCTGAAATTTTCAAAGTTTTACTTTCTTTGGAAGATGTTGGAGATTCTATTGAGAGGAAGGAACAATGGGAAAGTATTTTAGATACAATTATTGATAAAGGCTCTTGCATTGATTATACGGATGAAAAAGTTATAAAAGAGCATGACTATTGCTATTCTGAAGCATCTACTTATGCTATAACTTACGTTTCCGGTTATGTAAGTAGGAAAGGATCAAGATTTACGAAATTCCTTACGGAAAACAAACCTTTCATTTGTAAGGAGTGCTCCTCCAGTTTAATTTTGGCTGACGGAAATACAATTCCAGAACGCCATAAATTAATTGAAATGAAAACGAAAGGATTTCTAAAACATCCTTCCCAACGTTTGTATAATTTGATTTGCGTGCTTGAAAAGGCAATCTCAAGTGTCATTAATGAAAAAGATATTCAGTGTGATACCTTTTTTCAAGTTACGCAAAAACTCTATGATTTATCTCCCATACCCTTCGTAGGATGCGAAGAACATAAAGATGGTTTAACGAGACGAATCTTAAACTTTTACTTAACAACGCGCATGCTGCTTGTGTGTAAAAAAAAAAACATAAACGACAGTGAAGAACGAAAACAAATAAAAGAAAAACGAAAATCTGCTAAACTTGTAGCTGTCACTAAAAAGAAAATTTTAAAGTCTACAAGTAAAGAAATGGATTGCTGCGAAGATCCAACAAAAATTGCTCTGAAGAAAAAACGAGTTTATAAGAAAAAATGAAATAATTGATACAACGGAGAAACACTTTTATGTAATCTTATATGTATTTATTGTTAAAATTTTTATTTTTGTGTAGTTTATAAAGTCTTTATAAAATGATCATGTACAAATTTATAATATGCTTTAAATTATTTTTATTACAGTACTTAAAAATGAATGGTTTAATAATAGAATATTAATAAATATTTTTAAAAAATTATGAAATAATTTTAAATAATAATTTGACATTACTTTACAGTTCATAAAATATTTAAATTTAAAAATTTAATGGCAAAGTTTGAAGGTAGTCCACATCGTATACAAAACCACTAGGATTGTATTAATTATTTGTTTGTTTCAATTTTTAAAAATGTCTAGGAATGGATCATACATATGTACGTATTATACATACGTTAAATCATGATACACTTTTTCAATTATTTTGTTGTACAATATGTTACGTTCGTAACTTCTTGTTAATATACCTAATTTAACTTCGATACTTAAGAATGTATTTCCTATTTTTTTGATATTGTATTTTACTTATACGTTGTATTATTATTCTATGTATTTCATATTATTGCATTGTAATTAGCATATTTTATATATCTCATATGTATCTAAACAATTTGCAAGTATAATGAATTCAAGAAAGATGAGTAATATTTTAAATCATGTAAAAAGAATAACGATAGTGCATCAGTTAAACGACCTTCAAAAAATCTTCGCCACAGGCAGGAAAACAAACAAGCATTGCAGTCGCCGACACCCCCACTTAAAATCTACCCAAAATCGACACGTGTAGAAGAGTCAACAGTCGCCCCGAATTGCAGCAGCATTGCCGTCGCCCGACACCCCCACTTAAAATCTACCCAAAATCGACACGTGTAGAAGAGTCAACAGTCGCCCCGAATTGCAGCAGCATTGCCGTCGCCGAGACCCCCACTTAAAATTCACACTTGAATGATTTCAAAGCATTACATTAATGAAGACAGTTTTATATAAAAGGGATACAAATTCTGCAGATATCAGAGAGTAACTATTTAGAAATCAACCTGAACACATCGTTCAGAACAAGAGACTAGAGAGTAGTTTTTTAGAAATCAACTTGAACACATCGCTTAGTATCAGAGAGTAACTATTTAGAAATCAACCTGAACACATCGTTCAGAACAAGAGACTAGAGAGTAATTTTTTGGGAATCAACCTGTACACATCGCTCAGTCATTATCAAATTGTCTACAAGTAAACATCGCATAGTTTACAAGTGAATTAAAAGTACATCTTTGAAAGTGAAACGTATAACCCCAAGTATTATTTTGAACGTACATTATTAAAAGTGAACTATTTCCCCAAGTATTAAATAAGAAGTGAACTTTAAACAACCTCTTATAATAAATTTGCAAAGTATAAATTTTAAACAATTTCCAAAAATATTAAATTGGAAATAATCTCAACTATCAACGAAGACCTAATATTGAAACAACACATTCCAAATTTCGAACCATCGAAATTTGCTCAAGAGGCGACAACCGTCTGGAAGGAAGCAGATATTTTAACAATACAATACACTATCTCATTAGTGTAAACAAGAGGTCTAATACCCAACCACTAAGGACAACAAACAAAAGGCCCCTTTTCGTCTACCGCTCATCACCATTGAGATCGGACAACAGATTATCATCACACCACCAGTAATCGTTATTCTTTAAGTAAGATTCATAATTTTTGTACTCATTGTAATTTTGTCAACTCTTTTCTTTCTTGTTGGTTTTTAAATAAATTATTCTCTCACATTTAGTAGGCTCATTGACTTATCCTCATTCCAAATTGGATTCATTTATGAAACCAATTTAAAACGAGGAACGTTAGGTATATTTAAAAAGGTTTCTCGTTTTGACGTAACAAATAAAACAAATAATTATCTGTCAAATTAATGAAACTTAATGTAAACTGTAATACATTATGAAAGAATTAAAATGTTAAAAATTGGAATTTATAATTTAAAACTAATTGATATAAAAATTATATCTTTAACATACTTTTTTTCTTAAATACTGTCTACCATTTTTAAAAGATTACTGAACTCATCAATATCTTGAATATGTAGAAATTTTGAGAATGGTGAGATTATTTCATCTATAATTACTTTCATAGAGGAGTCAGCAAATACAAAGACTTTTTTTGTTACTGAAGCATCTTCTTCAACTTTGGCAAAAACCATATAGTCTTTATCACCTTTTGTGTAACACCATCTATTATTTGGTAAATATGCCTCTTGCATATTTTCTTGTAAGAAATTATAATTAAATAATTTCTTCAAGTTTTCCATTTCTTTGGATGAGTGTCTGAACATGGTCCTAACCTAAAAAAATTACTGATAAATATACATTTCATATGATAAGAAAAAATACTATAAATTAACTTCATTTTAAAAAATATAAATTTATAATTTAAATCTATTTATAAATAATTATATTTTGCCTATTTTTGGGAATTTTTTTATTTACGAATATTATGTAAAAATAAATACTTTCTCACACTTTTTTCATCTTTCCTTCTCACTTAACATATTGCATTTAACACATGAATGATTTCACATAATCCCACATTTAAATAATTTATCAGGTCTTATAAATTATTATTCATTTTGTTATGTTTATATATGTTTTTGTTTACAAATCAACACTGCAACGCAGCAATGTAGCAGACGAAAGAAAAATGACAGTTAGTTTCAGAATTTTCCCGTGCGTAGCGTTAGTGTTCCTTTCGGTATTTTCCAACAACTAAGCAGGTACAGAAATGTGTCGGCCCACTTTCAATGTACATCGTTCGGTTTCCTTATACTACTTCATGATCTAATGTAATATCGCCTTCATTTTAAGGTTATATCACATGCTGTTTGGGTACTGAGCGGACCAGGATGGGGATTTCTAGTAGCAAAGTTGCTAAGATATTAATCATTCCTATTTAGCAAATTAGAGTTCGTAATTTTTTTATAAATTCAAAAAATTAAACTCTCAATCTCACTTTAATGACATTTTGTTTGAAGAATTATTTTTAACTGCTCGCCTGCAAGATTAAAGTTACATTTATATTTTACAGCGGAAGCTAATAACTATTTTTTTAACGAAATATCATTAAAGTAAGATTTTAAGCTTCAATTTAATACAAATTTTAAAAAATTATTAACTTTAATTAGCTAAATAGCAAAAAATTTATATCTTAACAACTTTGTTTCTAGAAATTCCCATCCAAAGCAGTCATTCCTCTATGACTGATATTAACGAATGTGCGGCAACTGCAAGTAGAACGAGTTCCTTGATCCAGCTCCTGAATTTAGTAAATAATTCGACTTATATGTATGAAACCCATCCGCATCAGATAATTTAGATAACTTTTATCATTTCACTGAAAATTTTTTCCTCACGTTAAAATTTAAAACAAAATATCAAATTTAACCTAAAACTTTTTTGTATTAAAATCAAATAATTTGCTTTTCAATCAAATATTTCCTTTTTTAAAAACAAGGTTTATTTACTCATAAAATATTTTTTTACTTCAAATAAGATTTGTCTCAAAGGAAATGTTTCTTTTATCTAAATAAAATAATCGTTTAGTTTAAATATTTGAAGCGTTTTGTGCAGAAACCGCATAAGTCAATTTTTTTCGAAAATCACTTTTTTATTGAAAATTTATCTTTAAATGAAGCTTTTCAATCTGGTAAAATATTACATAAGTGACTAAAATCAAAACCCTTAAAAAAATAATTAAAATATCATTTTGTGCAGAAACAGCACAAGTCCATGATAAGTTTTATATTTATTTGTGATATTCTTGACGTATTTTAATAATTTATATTAAACAGTTTATATTATAAATAAAAACACTCATGGGAAGCAAAAAGTGACAGTGGTGACTGAATTATTTTAAAATTAGAAAATATTGAAAATTGGTTAAATTTATTCTTAAAACAATTTTATTATGTATAAAATGTTACTAGAAATTATCCAAATTTAATATTTTATATAAATGTTATTAAATATTTCATAAAACTTTGATATTTCACTGGATTTAATAAATTTTCTGTGTTTTTCATTTCATTTTGTGCAGAAACAGCATAAGTCCAAATGTTAATTTATTTTTTAATTTTTTACATTAAGTAGATAATTAATTAATCATATTGGATTTTTTAACTTATAGGTTAGTAGAATATAATGCAAAAAGCCGAATTTAAAAAAATCTTAACATTTACGAGAAAAACAGTTTTTATTGATTCCTCAACAATTTCGAATTATGGACTTATGCTGTTTCTGCACAAAACGCTTCATTTGTTCTCAATATCTAAATATTTATAATGCTTTACTTAACATAATATTTATAATAATAAGATAATATTAATAAATTCCAGTTTTAAATTTGATAAATAGAGAAAATAAAAGCGGGTCACATGTACAATAACAATAATATTAATTAATAATAAAACGTTATAATTATAGAAAGGAATAATAATATAATTAATAGTCATGATGCTAATTTGCGAATGGGTTTCAACTTTCAATTTTACGTATACACAAAGGCTCAAGAGATCGCCGCCAATTTTATGGCTCGATTTATCAAACCTAAGTTAATTGAATTTATTGTTTTAAAGTGTTTAGTTTATTTAGTCACAAATCACCCTTGAGAAAGATTCCTGCTTAAAATTCCCGTACAGGATCCTCAAAGGATCCCGACCGAATCCCGTACAGGATATTGGGACAAGGTTCCTGCGTAGGAACCTACATAAGAACCCGTGTGGGAAACTTGATTATTGGGGCCTCTCGCCGGTTCCTGTGTAGGAACCTTAACATCAGATTTTTGATAAAAATTTTCCCTCGTAGGGATGGAAATATAAACTTTCCTGTGCAGGATCCCATGCAGGTTCATACGAGGGAAAATTTTTGTGAAAAATCTGATATTAAGGTTCACACAGGAACTGGCGAGGGACCCCAATAATCAAGTTTTCCACACAGGTTCTTATT